GGGGGGGGGGGGGGGGCACTGGCGGTTTTCTCCCAAATTTGCCCTAAACCAGGACACATGGAGACTTCTCCAGAAGAAAGTTTTCTTGTGGCTTTTCATTTCCACGAATAGCAGCTGCCTGGGAAAAGTTCCGCAATCGTGAAATTCATCCCATTTTCACAGCCCTCCTACAGGTGTGTCCCTACCTGTAGCCCTCCTACAGGTATGTCCATGGGCCATGAACTGATGGGGTATTATTTTAAGGCTGAGTTGTTCAAAGGCAAAGGTTCTCCTCATCTGTCTCTGTAATCATCTCTTGGAACAGAGGTTTTCTTTTTCTCTCCCTGGGGGCAAAGGGTCTTCATCAGCTCTCATGTCTCTCTTCAAGCTTCCCATGGGATCACAGCTACTTCAACATCTGCTTGGCTTTATAAATTTATGGAAGCCTCTGCTCACATCTACAGTTTGAATACTTCATCCCCCCATACTCTCTCATGAACTAAAGGGGTTATTTCAGTGTATCATTGTCCATCTCCATGGTACTACCAAAAGAGCTTTCAGCCCCATTAGGGCATCTCCTCATTCTCCTTCCATCTGAGACTTGACTCCTTCTTTACTGACCTTGGTGTCTTCATGTTGTTATTCTACATGTCTTCCTCTTTTTCTCTCCCCGGAGAGAGGATCAAAGTCTGTAGGTCTCATCTGTATAGCGAAAGGGTTAATATCTTGCCCAGTGGCCACAGCAGTTACTGTGATGGATTTCAGGCCAAGCTGGGCCCCTCCCTCCACCTGGCAGTCACTGGGGGGGCAGACAGGATGTCCTGGAGCCGCTTGCAGGGTCTGGTGGGCCTTGGCTCGCTGCAGGCCAGGGGGATTTAGTGTCAGCGAGTGTCAGCAGCCATGGCCCGGCCCAGCCTGGGGCCCCCCAGCCTCCTGTCCCCAGCCCGGGAGCTGCTGGGGTCCAGCCCAGCCTCCCCGAGGCTGCACAGGCCGCAGGGGAGTGGGGCTGGTCCCACCAGAGCTGAATTACCTTCTGAGGCTGGAAGCAGAGAGAGTTCCTGGGCTTCCTGTTTTTAAAATGTGGATCTCACAGAGGTGGATCTAACTTCTAAATGGTTCAAAATGTTGTCAGTTCTCAGAATTAGCCAGCTATCGGCCTTTCCCAGACACAGAGGAACCTCCCAGCAGCTTCTCTCAGAGAAATCACTTCCATGGGTGGTTTCTTACTTCTTCACCAAATGTTAATCAATGCAAAATCAGCACATCCTCTAATTACTAACTCTGCTTAAATTAGCTTTTGCTGAAGAATATTTAAGTCCTCAATTCTTTTGAAAAACAAGTATATAAGCATCACAGAATCATTAAGGTTGGAAAAGACCTCCAAGGTCATCAAATCCAACCTTGGAGCAATCACCACCATGCAAAATAACCACAGTACTAAGTGCCACATCCAGTCATTTCCTGAACATCTCCAGGGACTGTGAGTCTCTGGGCAGTCCACTCCAATACTTAGCTACTCTTTCAGTG